CAAGCTGCCAAAGGAGGTGGCAGAGGTGAGTACAATTACAACAGTTAAAAGGCATCTGGATGGGTACATGAATAGGAAAGGACCAGAAGGATGTGGGCCAAACGTTGGCAAATGGGACCAGGTCAGATTGGGATGTCTGGTTGGTGTGGACGAGTTCATGCTCTTTAACTCTATGCAGGGTTTGAGCACCAAAATTCAGACTGATTATTCAATACAATACTGAGGCTTTGCAGCACGATTGAAGATGTGATCTTTTGTACAGAAAGTGAGGTGCCATTCACATACAATGCAGTTATAAAAAATTCTATGATACTATTTCAAAAAGCAGGGGAATTTGCCAGGTGGACTGTTGAACATATATCATTCAATTAACATTACACAAACAAATTTTATTACATAAGCATCGTTGATGAGGCCAACATTTGTTGTCTATGCCTTCTTGCCCTTCAGAAGGTATGATGCACTGTGGAACTGCTGAAGTCCATGTGGTGTAGGTCCACTTATAGAGAGGGGTTTCCAGGATTTTCATCCAGTGACAGTGAAGGAACGGTGGTATTGTTCATCTTGGAGCAGAGAAGATTAATAGATAACTGTTTTGAGGTGTTCAAAATTATGAAGATTTTTGACAAGGTAAAGTTTTTTCTGCTTCCGCTAGTTGGTATGTCAGTAACTAGGGGTCACAATTTCAAGATTGTCAGCAAGAGCTCGGAGTGAGATAAGGAGAAACGGCTTTATTCAGAGAGTTGTTAGGGTTTGGAATGTGCTGCCAAGGTGAGTAATGGAGGCAGATACCATAGGAGGTTTCAAAAGAGAGTTGGATGCAGATTTGAAAGTGATGAGTTTACAGGGCTATGGCAATCAGGCTGGAGAATGGGACTGGCTGGGTAGCTCTTTTGGGACCTGGTACATACACGATGGGTTGAATGGCCTCCTTCTGCACTACAAAATTATATGATTCTATAGTTCCAAGTCAGAAAGATGCATAGCTTGGTGAGAAACTTTCAGGTGATATTGCTCCCATGAATCTGCTGTCTCTGCCATTCTTTGTGATGGGAGATCATGGATTGAAAAATACTGTCAAAAAAAAACTTGCCACAGTGCATCTTGTAGATGGTACAAACTGCTGCCACTGTATTCAGTGATGGAGGGAATGAATAATGAAGGTAGTGGATGGGGGTGTGGGGCCTGCCAATCAATTGGGCTGTTTTGTCCCAGATTATGCCAAGTTGTTGTTGGGGTTGAACTCATCCAGGCAATTGATGAGTATTCCACCTGACCATCATATGACAAGGGGAGACGGTGCTATTTTTTCTTTCTTGTTGACGATGGTCTTTGCCTGGCATATATGTGGCATGAATGTTGTTTGCCATTTATGAACCTAAGCCTGAATGTTGCCCAGGATTTGTAGTTAAAGGACAACTCTTGAGCCTGCAAAAGTACAAGCACGTGCAGAATTTATTTGACCATATGCAAGGGAGTGGGTTTCTGTCGCTTGAGAACCTCACCCAGCCATACAATGTTTACAGTATGTATTTATAATATTAAGTTTCTGTTCCCCTGCAACATAGTTTCACAATTTTACAGATCATCTGTCGTATGGCATCATGAGATCATTTTATTCAGTTGTTTGGGATGCTCTGTCCAACACATGGAAAACATATACAACCTAATTTCCCATTCCCCCAGACAAGGCCCTGTGTATATAGGTGTGGGATATTTTATTATCCAAGGATTCACAAATGGTGCTGAACATTGATTAGGTGTGAAACACTTAGGAATGACTTAAAAGAACTAATGACGTAACATCTATGAAATTCAAATAGCCTCAAAATAATTCAAAGCATTTTATAACCAGTCAATTATTTTGAATAGAGGTGACTGTTATTATCCAGTAAATACAGCAGTCAATTTATCCATATCCATACCAATGAAAATGGCCCCAAGCTCGATCTTGGGTTCATGTTGCGCTACATGTAACCCCACCGTACTGCCCTGTGTCTGTAAAATCATCCTTACTGTCCTGTTTTGATGCCATTAACTTGATAACTTGTTATGATCTCTCAATCTTAATTGGATTACTTGTTACTTTAGTTAGACCCTTGGCATGTGACTTTTATACCTATCATTTTATTCCAGACATTTGGTTCGTTTCCAACACGACCTTATTTTTAATTCTTTTGTAGTTATCTCTCTGCTTCAATTAATTGGATTATAGGTCATCCTATAATTCACTTACTATTCAGTGGTTGACACTTTATTCATACCGTTTGACACTTTTGATCACCCGCAGAGACTTATTATTCAGCCTGTCAACACTCCACTCACACCATTTGTACAGTCTTTTGATCTCTCTGCCTATAATTTCTGCACCTGTGTGCTTCTCTTCACGTCGTCTGATGAAGGAGCAGCACTGCGGAAGCTTGTGGTTCCAAATAAACCTGTTGAATTATAAACTGGTGGTGTGCGACTTCTGACCTTGTCCACCCCAGTCCAACACCAACACCTCCACATCAACTCATCTTTGATCTTTGACATGGATGAGTGTGAAACATCCCTTCTCTTCTTCAAATGGTGCGTTGAAATTTTCTACATTAATCTGGAACCGGGGTGGGGCGTATCCTGGCCTTAATGCCTCACTCCAAATGGGTAAACTCTGATGATATAACTGTTCCTTCTCACTGCTAGAAGTTTTGAGCCGAGCTGACATTTTCAAAATTTGATTCAGGGATAGATTTGTGAATGATGAATAAGTGGCTGGGCCTTTACTTTCCAACAGTGTAGGAGTGAGGCAAAATACTTTCCCATCTCTTTGTCTCGGACAGAAATTAAGCAACTTTATGACCTGGCTTCAGAAAAGATCTTTAAACCACACTGTTGTAATAGTGGAATTTAATGTTAATATGGTGACACCGCTGCAGTGTGAGATTATTTTCAGCTACATTATTTAAAGGATCAAAGGGCTCTTAAGAAGAAAGAATCTCAGTTTCTTTCGGCCTCCACCTCAGGGTTGGCCTGCAAAGATAGTCTTGGATCCATTTGGAGGTTAGGAGATTCCACCGGAAGAATGTTTGGCCTTACTATTGCTAACTTGCGCCATGCAAACTTGGGGAAAAGCGAAATGAAAGATGAATACTGTGTTTATAACAACAGAGACAACAATAAAAAATGGGTTCATCAGACAGTCCCAAAATGGATGCAAAGAATTAACAGCCACTGTTGAGAAATGCATGAATGATTAATAAGTCGCTGGGCCTTTACTTTCCAAGATGGTAGCTGCAAGAACTACACATCTTAAGAGTTAACACCAACTTTTATTGATGTACTTCTTTAAATAAATCAAGCTCTGATGAAGTACAGAACAATTAAGAAGTAAACTTTGACCTACATGAGGAATTTGGATCAATAACAAAAAGCTTGGGCAAAGAGACAGGCTTTAATAAGCATTTAAAAAAAGAGGTAAGAGCAGGAGGAAGATGTAAGGAGCCAGATTTTCTCTCAGATTGCCACCCTGCTCCTTTTTTAGTGCAATAAAAGAACTCCGTATTTCTGACAGGCAATTTAAGTCAGGGTTCCTTCAAAAAAGTGGAGCCGTGCTACTATTCCGACAGTTCCTCTTGGAGCAGAATTATCAGTGGAAGGCAAACAATGCCTCTTTTTTCATAGCAGTTAATTGCTAAATTCTGAAATTTAAAGGACCAGCATCACAGACAGCCACTTTGTTCAGGGTAGATCGTGGTCGAAGAAATATTGTGTCTGGTGAGGCAGGGCGGGGTTGGAGGGGTGGAAGGAGAGTGGTTCTGTCTGGGAAATTGGGCAGGTGGTTGGACGGGGAGGTCGGGTATGAAGCAGACAAAGGGCGGGATCGGGGCTAGCTCTGGGGGAAGGGGATGTGTGGCTGGCTCTGTAGCAGGGGAAAGAGTGGGGTTCGAATCCTGAGGTAAGGGGAGAGAAGGGGTTTGGGTCCAGGGCAGTGAGGAGCAGTTCCAGTTCTCGGTGGCGATAAGGGGGAGTCAGTTGTTGTTGTGGGAGAAGGGTAGGATCAAGACTGAAGAGGGAGACGTGGGGCCAGATCTGGCAATGGAACAGAGAATTTTGGGATTGGCAGCAGAGAGGGGAGCTGCTTAAGGCTGATGGCAGAGTAAAGTAGCTGGTGTGGTGTTGGGTCCCAGGGTTTCAGTGGGATGTTGGTCTCAGAGGAGGAGAGTTTGACATGTCAGAGTCTGGGTGTACAAGGGGCCTGGGGCAGGTGCAGCTGAGCGTGCATTTTTGATAAAGTGGGATGGGGGCAGAAGGGGTATCAGTGTAAAATTTACTGAGGTGTTAGGCCAGACATTTAGCAGCCTAACCTTGTCTGACAGCTATTAACTTGACTTCAGTGGGATCCTCTGAAATCTCTGATTTAACTGTAGACATTGGGAGGGTTTCAGGTGCAGAACAATTGCCTAGTGGAAAACAATATGTCCCAGGCAACTCCCTTGGTGTCTGCTACAGGTTCCCCATATGCAACTCCCAACTACACTTCAGAACAATTATCTGGCCATTGGAAAATCCACACCATTGTTTAAGAAGGGAATTCCAGAGCTTTAGAATTTGGCAGCTGAAGTCATGGCCACCAATAATGGAGCAATTAAAATATGATCATGGAAATTCATTCTAACATTATACCCAAGCAGCTTACATTAATTGAAGCATTCTTAGTCTTATATGCTCAATATAATATATCAAAACATCACTGAAATTAAAGAAACTAGAAAGTTTTCTTCCATTCTATGGGTGCTACAAAATGGATGAAACATCTGACCTTAAACTGGGAACACTGAAATTATGATTCATTTGTCCATTACGGATCAAATCAGTACTTACATCTGACCTTTGAATACTCATTACAAGCAGATACAGTGTAAAGAGAAAAGTGCATGCATTATTGAAATATATTTGTCATCCAAAAGTTTTATGTCAATTATAACAGATTTAGATAAAAAGATGGAGTTTTGACTTACTTTTACAAGACTTTCCATCATTCCCTAAGGCGTAGCCAGTACTGCAACGACATGTCCTTGCTTTGTGGCTGCTGCTGAGTAGGCAGATGTGAGAGCATCCTCCGGGTTTATTATACAGATCCAGCTCACAAGCATGACTTCTAACTGAGAAAATCAATAAAATACTTTTTAGATAGGTAACTGCAAAATCAATATCATCAAAGATGAAATGATGATAATTCGTCGTCTAATGTAAAAAAGTGCAAACTATAACCAATTTTTCCCTCTTAAATTATTGATTACAAACATAAATTGAGAAAGCGAATGTTAATCAATTTAACACTGAACAGTGCAACCTATCGTTCCCAAAAAATATAGAATGGTGACAACTTGTCATCAAACTTTATCATGCTTTGAGTCAGAATGACTTCCTGTTGAGTTACAATACTAGCTGAGAACGATAACAAGGAAGCTAATTCTGCCCTCCAGATTTCATATTTGGGATATTCTGCCCTGTGTGTCCAAAAGATTTATAGATCAAGAATCAGCCAATTTGTTTCTGCCAGGTGAGGGCTGTGAATTGGCTCCCCTCTTTTTTAACTTCCTCACATGGTCATAAAAAATATTGTCAAAATTTTTTTTAGCACATAGCTTTATCTCACTTCAATAAAAAAAATCATCAAAATTAAAGAGACAATTGCAAAGTTTTTCAGTGATAGAAAGAGGAATTGTATTATCTACAAAGCCCAAGAAAAATAATAAAACATGAGTTCCAACATGCAGACAGAGGTATAAAATTTTAAAAAGAGAGAGGATCTAGCACAATTCACAGTTAATGCATATGCAGCTTAATAAGTTATTATTTTCTCTGTGCTATAGTTGAAGCTGGGTTCACTGCTGTTGAGTTGATGTCTTATTTTATTGAGATGACGTATTGGAACCCCAATACTTGGGCCATTTTAACTATTAATTTGAAAATGTATATTTTTAAAATCAGCTACACAGGCAGAATGACTGCAGGCCACATTCTCAGGTCATTATCTGGGTGCACGTGTAAATTCAGTAGTTGGCTGGTAAATATTTTGTGTGATTTTTTGGAAAAGTAACACCTACTGTATTAAATAAATTTCAAAAAGGCTGGATTACAAAGATAACAAAGGGCTGATAATCCCCTTCTCAACAGTAAGCCATCCCTTGCAGATCATGTCCCAAGCTGCTGGCTCAATTTATGTTTTTCCTTTTGAAGAATATGCAAGGACAGGGGTTAAAAAGCTAGTTTCAACTCTACTGGAGCGTACTAATGGGATTGAATGCTCCCATGTGCACCAGCCTCCATTGAAGCATTAACATACTGTGAAGGTCACAGTCAATTAACTATCCTCTCATTACTCCTCTGCTGCAGGTAAAGATGTTGTCGCATTCTGAGCACTAGAAGTCAGCTAGCTGGCTGCCACACAATGAAACAGGATAATAAAAGGACACAGCCTCACCCTGAGTGGTGTAATTCAGTATTCATCGAAAGAAATCAGTCATAAAGGATCTCAACCAATTTTCAAAACTATGAGTTTGTGTGTGAAACAGATCGTTTAACTATCAACATCAAAGCGACCAATATGATTCGCTGTAACAAGTGTAACATTCAACTACTTGCTCTTCTCAAATAATTCAGAGGCTGCATAAATTCTTTGCTTTTTTTAAAAAAAAAGTTATCCTTTTGTATTTGCTCTTATTTTTAACCTGTGTGTGTGTTGTGGTACTAATCCTTCTCACACTTAGTAATTAGCAAACTTACTATTTGATCATTTAAGAAAGCCTGGCTAATTTGGCTCCTTTTTTTAAAAAGCGTTAATTTGCATCTGTGAGAAAGCTTCTGAGGGAAGGTTTCCTTTTTGAGTTAGCCTTTGTTTTTGCAGCCAACAGAAGGGGGTAAGTGAATAAAGAAGGGGAGGCAGTTCATTCCTCTCCATCCAGATGTTTAACAGTGTGGAATATTGCATCTGGAACAATAATGAATTGGGGAATGGAGTCTGGTCATTACAGAATCTTCAGAAGTAGTAAAATGTGTAGAGATTTTGAATTCTCCAATTTGTTTTATCACCAGTGCTGACTTTCAAGATGTTAAGAAGGAAACAGGATTGAAGAAAGTCTTTCAATTGCCTTGCTGTTAACAATCTATTCCCTGTATCTCTATCTGCCAGCCTGCCAAACATTTCCAGACATTTGTGTATTCCTGAGTCTGGCTCCAAATATATTGAACAAGAGTATGGATGAGGAATTCAGAAGCAGCTAAGTTGTGCAACTATCAACAATGGGTTGAAGAAAAATTAAGGATGTGGAAGAGACCATTTATTGAGTCATCAGTGTTTTCCATGCAGGCTGCAATTTCTGTCTAAATTGCAATATGACAGACCTGGTTAAGATTTGGCCAGAGTAATGTGTGTATTCAATTAATACTTATTGCACTTGATCTATAAACAGTTTGTAAGTTTTTACCATAAAAGTGATTTGTTTCATGTTTCAGTTTGCATTAAAGAATGATCCCTATTGTCAAGTACCTGCATTTCTCACCTTGCAGATCTACTGTAATAGAATTCATAGGCAAATTGTAGCTAAATTACATGGATGGTCTGTTTTTGAATAATTTGGTATTGGTCACACGCCATCAAAAAGTAAATTGAAAGATGCAATATGGAAGCCAGCAAATAAAATCCTCTAAAACTAATATTACAATACAAAATAAAGAACAAGGTATAAGAGAATGTAAACCAAGCATTAAAATGTTGAGAAATATTTATTCATCAAATGCAGAAATTCTATAAGACACCAAATAAAAATAAAATTTACAATTCATTACTTTGAAGCTAACGGGATTCTTTATTCTGCATTCACTCAGTACTGGACACAAAGAACTGTATGTTTATAATGGGTTCTGGGTATCAACCATTGGGGGTTTGTGATTGGTACGTTGGCTGTCGCCAAACCTCCTTTCTACTATTTTAAAATAATCAGGTGGTAAAATAAACCAAAACAGCCCCGAAGGTGTATCCTCTTCCTCAAGCCTAATTTAAGGGTTTGTATTGTCATCAGAGGTAGTGGTTCCACCACAATAGACTTTTACCAAGAAGAGGCTCCTGTCTCACATAACAAAGGATAGCTTATTGTGTAATATCAAGAGATACCATTTACATTAAGTAGTTAGGCATAATTACAATTATCAGGAGCCAGCTATATCATATCTGCCTCCATTGGGACTGTCAGACATTTTAGGGCAGAGTGGACATAATGCAATTTCAATATGAACTTTCTCAGAACCTTGTACAATACTGTGAATGCATTTTGATGACCATTTTATGTGCATGCACAGATCAAAGATCTTACTTTTACTCAACTAAAGAGTATTGCATCAATAAATACAAAGCAGTTCATTTCATGTGCAGCCAATTTAATATGTGAACTGACCAGGGACTAAACCTGGTCAGATTTGAACACAGTTGCCAAAAGTAGTCCATAAAGTCAAACAAGGCTAAACCTAAGAAGAGGTCTTGCCTTAGTGATAATGATAAGCTCAGTCAAGAAATATTTCAATGAAATGCTTTCCCCTCACTGTAGCTGTGATATTTGGGAAGGAGGGAGTTTGACCACTTACAATTTTTTTTTATTTTAAAACTTAGTACTTGTAAAATTGATTCTTCTACACAATCAGGTTTGTTTCACTCTAGTAATACAGTACTCTTAAGAGACCGGAGAACTACAACGAATGTTTCGGGATAAAAATCATTTGATTTGTACATATAAGTATAATGTTCTGTTGCTTAATTGTAACTAATGCTCTCAGCAAATTTAGTAGAGTTATCAAGATTCCAGGCTTGTTGATGCCGTTTAAATTACAAAATTTGACACGTACTTCATTATAGCCCTCTTATATTCATCTTACTCCAAATCCTTTGGAGGAATAGATCAAAAGTTATCAAAAAAAGCATACTTGCTTCATTTCCTACAAATTAAGAGTTATAGAACTATGGGTAAAATCTTGGAAGAAGCAGACAACAAATATTTTGAAAACCAAAGCCCAGTTTGAAATTACCAAGAAAATGTTTGCAAACTATGAAGTCAAAACACACTTTTGTTACAAAATTGTGCTGGAACATTTTAAATATGCTTAAAAATTCCCTCATGTAAATCTCTTCAAAACAGTGAACTGAATCTGCTGGGGTTTTTTTGGCAAAGTGCCAGTTTTGTCAAGTTTTGGAGGATTTTCACCATGAGGCCTAGCAAGGTTTTTCATTATACATCACCAATCTTGTCTCATTTATTACCTATTCCACCCCTAAGGGACACCTCTTGTCTGATTCTACCTTCATCTCAGCATGCACTGTTTCCAGAAGGACTCGCTCCTCAGCAGATTTATACCACAAGAGCAGCAAATCCCTGATGCCTGCACCATATTTAAAAGATCAGTACACCAGCTGACCACCGGCTTTTTGAAGTTCATTACAGTGTGAAAATTGGAGGTAGGGAAGATGTTACTATGATTTGTTGATAGGAACCTGGAGGTCTCTGGTGGACACTGAGATGTGATGTCATTTTCTCAGAGAATTGGCAGAGACCCAACAGCCAATTCAGAGGTGACCACCTTCGTCAAAAACTTTCTCCACTGTGCCAGAGTAGGTGTCACACTACTACTCTCTGCTACCTCACACTCACTCTCTCTCTGCTACTCTAGTACCTCCCACCAAAGTTCATGCTCTGCCACTTTCAGTGTTGCATGCAACATCTTTCTTTCCTTGCTCTCAGTCTTCAACTTCCCACACCATTCATCTGTATGGCCTTACTAATGCCTCATGACTTCCTTCAGACCACTTCACCACATTTGTCTCCCTTTCACTTATTCCAGGAGAAGACAACCCACAATAAGGCAGAAAGTGCCTGGATAGGTGGAAGGGTGTACAACGTCAAATTCCTCAGTCCCCTTGAGGAGAGAATCCTGCCCCTCAGAAAAAAAAAAGACTGGGACCAATCCTGTGGAAATGCCAATGCATGCGTGTCATAGAGTCAGAGAACCCCTACAGTGAATAAAGAGGCCATTTGGCCCATCGAGTTTGCACCAATCTCCGAAGAGCATCCCATCCAGACCCAGCTCCCAACACTATGCCCCAAACCCTGCA